AACTGTTGTAGAGTGTCAGTTTCTCTCACTCACCTCACCACAAGTCAGTGCACGCCTCCCTGCCCGTCCAGTTTTCGACTCCATTCGCAGACTCCCGCTCTCAGAGCTTCCGCGCGCCTTGCCAAGCCGCTGTAGATGCAGTCGCCGGCCACGCGGCGGGAAACCCAAATCGTGGCTTCCAATGGCGTGGGGTCCAGCCTCCACACCGAGGCTTTTCTGTTCCTGTTTTAGCACCAGGACTGCATTCCAAGTTGGTTTCTCTCAGCCCATTTCGTTCCTGAGTCAGCAGAGCATATCTCCACCTGCTTATATCTCCTTAGTCCACACCATTCCTGGCTTCTGAGCCGAGTCTTTCAGAGAGGCTCCGATAGTTGCTGTTATCTGTCCGCCATGTTCTCCCGGAAGTCTTATTTACTTTTTTTGAAGAGAGTAAAACCAAATGTGACATATCAGAACAGAGTCAGTCAAGTCAAAAGGATGCACATAATAAATAATGTAAAAACAAAATATAAGTTGATCAACAATGGTTGCCATACTGCCTCTTGCTATTTTAAGAAGAATTGGCAGTTATAATAAAATTGAACTAAACAGTAAAGAATTAAACCAAAGCATTGGAGACATTACAGGACTTTAAAAGAGAATAATAGTCAACCGGAATGGGCATCATAATGATTCTTATTGTCTTCACAGTTTTGCCTATACTTTTGAACTTGGTACTATCAAGCAAAGCAGAATAGAGGAAAATCAGTCAAAACAAGATGGTGAGGGCAATACAGGATTTCAAATCAAGTTAATAGGAAATCAAAGTAGGTTACTATATTGTATCCTGCTATTTTTTATTTATTTTTCCCTTAATTAAAAAAGAAAAAGAAAAAAGTAAATAATTTTTAAAAAGGGGATTGAGATAAAAGAGGGCATAACAACAGAACAGCACAGGTCAAAACATAACCATTTAGGCATAATAGTGTTTCACCACAAGATATCCTGACATGAAAATAGTTACCATAGTGTCTCTTCTTGAATTCTTTGAGCATAACTTCTTATACTGTAGTACCAAACATATCAAGACACTATAAAACCATTCAAGAGAATGACATTATTGCAGGGTATTTAGAACCAATTAACAGAAAATGAACAATGATTTCTATATAAACTCCTTGTCTATAAAAGTTTTTGCTTATATTATAATATATAATAAAATCCAATAAGATACAACCTTTTAACACCAATGGAGACTGAAGAATACACATTTGATGGGACTTCAAAACAAGATGATACTAAATCAGCACTAGCTATTATGATGTCTTGTTTTCTCCAAAATAGCTGTTTCTACCTTCCTATCTTCTCTGCCTCATTTCTGTTGAGCTCTTTTTCTGTCGTTTGTTGTCAGCTTGTCTTCTTCATTTTGTTTTCTGCTCCATTCATTGTAGCCTCTCTGCCACTATTTCTGGAATCTTGGTATTTTCCTTTTTTAGACTATCCTGCAGTATTCTCTGTAGAGTTGAATTAGTGGTTGCAAATTCCTCTAGTTCCTCTTTAACCTGGAAGCACCTTATTTTTCCATCAATTTCTAGGGACAGTTGTGCAGGATATATCAATCTTGGCTGGAGGTTATTATCTTTCAAAGCTTGAATTATTTCCCCCCACACTCTTCTTGATTTGATGGTTTGTGCCGAGAAGTCTGCTATAATTCTGATGGGTGTTCCCTTGTAAGTGATCGGTTTCTTGTCTCTGACGGCCTTTAATATTCTGCTCTTATATTGGATTTCTGGAATTTTGACTATTATATGCTTGGGTATAGCTCTTTTTGGGTTGTAGGTGGCTGGAGTCCTGTATGCCTCATATATCTGAGTATCTTTACCATTTGCTAAATTAGGGAAACTCTATTGGATTATTTCTGTGAATAGTTTTTGTAGTCCATTTGTTTGTATCCCCACTTCTTCTCTTATGTTCTTAATTCTTAAGTTGTAGATCCTCTTATCATCTTCTAGTTTTTGTATTGTTGCTGTTTGTTTTTTTGTTATTTTTAAGAAGTTTTTCATTTCATGCTCCCATATTACAAATCTGCCCTCCAGTTCAGATAATCTATCCTTAGTTTCTTTCAAGCTGTTATGCCAGTTTTCGATAGTTTTTAGTTTCCTGGTAATCTCTTTGAACCTGTTTTATGTATTCTATGTTTTCTCTATTTTCTCCATCAGACAATTCTCCCCTTTTTTTCTGTTCTTCCATTGTACCATCTGTTTTTTCTTGGGCAGTGCTTAGCATTTCTCTAACTATTCTGCTTATGTCTTGTTTCAGGTCATTAATAACTTCATTCCTGAACTTGTCTATGAGGCTCTGGAGATAGCGCTTTATGTCTATTGGTGCCGTGTGTGCTATTGCATGTTTCTCAGGATTGGGGGCCGAGGACCCTTTCTTGTTGCTCCCTCTTCCCATATTCTTTGTTCCTTATATTTAAGCGTTTATAGGAGGCCCAACTTCCTTCCCTGTCCGCCACAATCTGTTTGAATTGCGTTGGCTAGGTGTTCCCGCCCACTGCAATGGCACCAGGGAGACACAGACCTGGGCAGTCTATGCCGGGCCCGCCCCTCCAGGTCAACCTACCAAAGGCTTCACCGCTAGCGTGCACCTCCAGGCACTGGGACCTGAGTTGGGCTAGCCTGTTGGGTCTCAGCCAGCGGCATCTCGCAGGCCAGGCGCTCCCCACCGATCCCGCTTGAGAGGGAGATATGTGACTGAAGTCAGTGCAGCATCTCGTTCTGGGAAGTCTGCCCAGTCCGAGTATGTCCTCCGCTGAAGCCTCCTTCTCTATGGAAGGGTCCCAATTTGCTCACTCACCGCAGGTTGATGCAGGGCGCCCGGCCAGTCCTGCTCCCAACTCCTTCCGATGCTTCTCATTCTCTGAGCTTTCACACCTCTCTCCCCACTGTGCTGACAGGGACCAGGGACGCAACAGCTACTGCAGGTAATTCAAATCACAGTTTCCAGTAACGCGAGGCCTGGCTTCCATGCTGAGACCTTATCTGTTCCTGCTGTATCACTGGGATTACGTTTCCAGTTGGTTTCTCTTAATTTAGTTCATTCCTGGGTCGGCAAAGAATTTCCCCCCTTGCCTAGGGCTTCCTGCCCGGCACCATTCCTAGATTTCAAGTGCGGTTTCTCAGAGACCCTCCGAGGCTGCTGCTATCTATCCGCCATGTTCTTCCAGTTGGACTCTTGGGAGACACTGTCGTGAGCTCTGGGTTTTCATCTGGACTCATGTGAGACATTGCTGTGGAATTCGGGCCCTGGGCTAAATATTCTATGTCTTTGGTGTCGTGGATAGATTTCCTGCATTTTCTTGTGTTAACTGTGAGTGACCATCACAGAAATAATATTAGAAACTCCGTGTCCTGATTCTAATTGTTTTCTGCACAACCCCTGACTACAACAGGTATTATTTCTTTTTTGTTGTTGTTGCCAGAAACAATACCATTGTTTCCATCCTTCATTGGTAAATCTTTATTTTATCAAGTGAAATTGGTGAGTTGATGTTAAAGGGCATTTTTGGTGCTTGAAAAGTAACTAGAAGCCTGGGTGCAATATAAGACTAATGGTGTGAAACACAGATTGATGTCCTTCAGGACCTCGTTAGTCCTTGTATTTGTCTTTGGAAAGTACCATGTTATGTCAAAACCTTTCATATTGCTGAACACCCTAGCTGATCTTACTTTCTTTGCTATGTGATGACTTCTTTGCTTTCATCAGGCACTGCTTACCCAAACATCCACTCTAGAATGGTAACAATAAAACATAACAAAGTAAAACTTCGTGGCAGCGGTGGTGCCACACCAATGATACCAGCATACTGGGAGGCTGAGGCAGGAGAATCACAAATTGAAGCTTAGTTGGGCAGTTTAAAGATGTAGAGACCCTCTCTCAAAAAATTACAAAAGGGCTAGGAACATAGCTCAATGGGAAGCACTAGGTTCATTTCTCAGTAGTATAACAAAGAAAAACAGTAACTTTTAAGTTTCTTTTCCCTTTGTATCCGTACCCCCCAACCCTCCTCTTGTTTTTTTTCATCACAGGACACTAGGCAGGTGCTCTATTACTGAGCTGCATCCACAGTCATTATAAATGTTTGGCTGATTGTTGATGAATTAACACTAAGTGAGAGTACCTTAAGTGATAAGAAGGGGAAACTATAAAACACTTAACCTCATTTGTGAATTATAATGCTTAGTTCAATGATGATACTGATTTAAATAAAAAGGTACATTTTTTCCTCATTCATACTGAAATGTCATTTTCTTATTTAAGAATACCATTAGGGATGTACTTTTTCAGCCTTTTTCAAACTTCACAGGACCTCAGTGAAACTAGAACTTAAGGATATATGTTATTTTTATTTTATAGAAAAAATAACCTAATTTTGTAGCAAAATAATAGAATAGGAATAGTTAATACATTACATGGTGTTATCTTTAAAGTAATTACTCAAAGTATAAGATACGGGTATAAAATTTCTCCAATATTAGCACATACGTTCCTTTTTTAAATGAGCTAAGAGAATCTTAATAGTACAATTGACTTGCATCTTTCCCCTTTTACCTCTCATCCTTTCTCTTTCCCCAGCCTTTTTCTTTTTCCATTTGAACAGTTTCTTCCCATTTCACAGTATCTATTGTATATTTTAGACCTTATTTTACTCTTTTGATTTCTTATGCAAGGGATCCAGTATGATGTTTGATTAATTTCACTTATGAGTGTGGTCTCAAGTTGTATCCATTTACCTATAAAAATCTCATGTGTCCTTTATGGCTGAGTAGCACTCCACTGTATAGAAAGACTACATCTTTTTTATCCATTCTCTGGTTGATGGGGAGCTTAGTATTTTTATCAATTATATTTTAAATATTAAGAAATTAATGTCTTCGATTTGAAAAATTTTTTCAGGTCATAAATACTCTTCAAGTGTCTCAATAATGTTACTGTTTGGTTAACTTCATCTTTTACAGCCTGCACTTAATTTAAGGGACCTTGGATTGTCTGAATTAAAAGTTGGACAGATTGACCAATTGGTAGAAGATCTACTTCCTGGATTTTACAGAGGCAAAAGTATTTCTTCGCACTGGCACACATCTCATATCTCTGCACAGTCCTTCTTTGAAAATAAATATGGTATGTTTATATATTTTTGGTTCTAATGAAACTAAGCCATGTAAGTATTATTAAAAAAAAATAGTTAGAAATCATTTATTAGCATTTACTATGGACCAGGTTCTTAAGGTTTTTTTTTTTTTTCCTTTTTCTGCTAAGTTTTCATATTCAAACAATGTTAGATTTACAGAAAAATTTTAAAGGTAGTGTCAAGGGTTTTTGTATACTCTGCACCTTACTTCCCTTTAATTTTGACATTTTCCATAATCATGGTACATTTATTAAAACAGATTCACATTTATATATATGTAGTATATATGTTTATATATTATATGTATATATTTTACTTATTTAGTTGTGAAACTGGCCTCTAACTTGGGATCCTCTTGTCTCCCAATAGTGCTGGGATTATAAAGTGTGCACCACCATGACTTGTAACAGTGTTTTTAATTAAGTGTGAATTGTTTGGATTTCAGCAAAATTTTCTTTAAATCACTTTTTTTTATTGTTGATACTCTGTTCCTGGATCTAAAGCACTATACTGTATCACATTTAGAAAAAGGTGTTTTATTTATTCATTTGTTTTTTAGAGTGGGTCTCACTCTGCAGTTCAGGCTAGCCTTGAACTCACTTTGTAGCCCAGACTAGTCTTAAATTTGCAATGATCTTTCTGCCTCAGCCTCCCAAGTGCTGGGATTACAGGTGTGCACTACCACAACCAGGGAAGAATGTGTTTTTTATTGTCCTTATTTAAACTTAGTGAGAATACATTGATAAAGAAATATTCTTTGTATGAGATGTCTGCATCTTTTTGAAGCTTTTAACACGCTGACATAATAAGTAGGTTTACACTGCAGTCTGTCAGGTTAGCTTCCAGAAGATCTTTTTGGATAGCACATAAGGAATATTGGGGCTTCCTCAAAGGTTTGAGTAGTTGATGATTTGATTCGAAGCTATACTTTGCATAAACAATTCATTTGCTAATTCTTTTCTTTGGTCTTTCATGCAGTATGAAGATACACAGAATACAAGAGTGAGAGGAAAAATAGTTTTGAGCTTGGGGACTCAGATTGACAGCCCCCTTTTATTGTTTATATAAAACTCTTGAAACGCTTGCTCTGTGTTGTGTTCAATAGGATAAACTTTTTAGTATTTATATTATTATTGCTCTTCTAATCTGCAGCATGTAATTCTAATTGGTACATATCAACAATAGCTACTATTTATTGGCTACAAAGCAAGTCCCTAGCATCTAAAAAGTAGGAAAGGGTTGACATTACTTAAGAGGAGGAGTTGGAAAGGATCACTGTATTCATGCTCACAGCTTTGGAGGGAACTGTTTACATACTCACTGGTTATGAAAACTTGAAAAGGGAAAGATAGCAATAGCTGTGGTTTGCCTTTTTTTATCACTAAAGCTTTTGAAATTGTCTCTACTGAAGAGCAATTTCTTATCTTTATGTTTTAAAGGTAATTTTCACTTGAACATATATACCTTATACCTGTGTTGATTAGAATTTATACCTCATACCTCTATTGATTAGAATGATAGCTATATATCAGATGTAAAAGTAATGTGTTGAGTGTAACATGAAGAGCTCTTAAACTAATGATACTTTAGATACTTTTATGAAAGCAAGGTCATATCACAGACCAAAAGTTGTGAAATTTACATTGTGACTTTTCTGGGGTTTTTTGTGGTTTTTTTTTTTTTTTTTTTTTTTTTTGTCTTTTTCCTTTTTATCGGTACCGGGAATCGAACTCACGACTGCCTGCTTGCAAGCCAGGCGCTTATGCCGCTGAGCTAAATCCCCAGCCAATATTGTGACTTTTCATAGCAGTTGATAAAAATTCTTAATATTTCATGTGATTTTTATGTTTTTGGTATGGAAAAGCTGGAAACTTACCTTTAACAATTTCCCTCCAGGTCACTTAGATATGTTTAGTGCTTTACGTTCCACTTGCTTGTTTCGACAACATCCAAGAACTCTTCAAAGAATTTGTTCAGATCTTCATTGCTGGCCAGGTATGAAGCAACACTTGTAATTGTTTTGAGAAATGTAATAGGTTACTTAACATTTTAAAATTTGTTTTAATGATGCTAGTGATTATGACCACTCATTTGCAATAGACAGTAGGACTTAAAGAGTGTTTGAAATCTATCAGTTTAGGTAGTTCTATGTTATTTTAGATCAGGAAAATGTATAATAGGAGGTATAAATTTTGTGTGTGGGTGACAAATATCATAGTAAATCCAGCTCCTAGATATATATCTACAACTATTTCACAATAATTGACTAAAATTTGTTTACTAGCCCTCATCAAAAGCCCATTGAAATGAAAGAAAAAATATTAAAAGGAGATAAAAAGTCTAGAGGAACACCAGAAGAGTTTTAGTAAATTAAAATATGTGAAAATAAATTGAGAGTAAGATCAAATTTTATTCGTTATTCATCAAAATTTTTTTTAATGTAAAAGATGATTTGAAGATAGGGGAAAGAGAGAGATGGCAGACAGGTACTCTGAATGAGTAGGAAGTGTTCAGAAGAGGAATATTCATCATTCATTAACTGGTTGCGAGGCAGTAGCAATAGTTGTTAAGTGATAGTGATAGTTATGAATGAAAAAGACGTCTTCATGGAATTTAGGATCATGTGTCATGAAAGATGTGTATGTTTCTAATTCTAGTAGAACTCAGGAAAACCTCTAGACTTGGAGTCAGTAAGAGTGAGCTTTGGTTATAAACAGTTGAAAGATTGCCAAAAATAGTCTTATTCCTTCTCTTCCATTTCTTTTTTTTCTTTTTTTATTTTTGGTACTGGGGGATTGAACTCATGACCTCACACTTAGCAGGCAAGTGCTTGAGCCACTGAGCTGAATTCCCCGGTCCCAAATTGCCGAAATAGGAATGTGAAGAATCTCCATTTCTGTTTTTAAACAAGATAGCAGTGATCAGTACTCACAGCAGATGGGTTTATTCAAAAGTACTATGTAGTAAATGTATGTGAGCTACAAATTACAGACTACTGTGAATGAGCATGACACTATAATTGTGTGTGTGATTCATGACTGAAGCAACCTATTTGTGTTTGTCATCAGTGCTCAGTCCAGGAATTTCCAGACAGGTTCCCATAGACACATGCACATTCACATTTACTCCTCACTGCAATGTGTTTTTTGCCAATTGTAGCCTAAAATTAAGCCACATCTGCTCCAGGATTGGCCCATTCTTGAGATGGAATTTTGTTTAAGTGGCTCATGCTGGCTTCACACTTTGTCTTTTTGCTCCAGTCTGCTGAGTAAATGGAATTCTAGGCATGTACCACTGCATGCAGCTGTGCTGATGTTTTTTTTTGTTTGTTTGTTTTGATTGAGACAAGGTCTTACTGTGTTGTGCAGGCTGGCCTTAAACTTGCTTATGTAGCCCAGGCTGGCCTCAAACTCATGGTGATCCTCCTGTCTCAGCCTCCTGAGTGCTGGGATTATTGGGCATGTGCCACCAATGCTTCAACCATGTGAAATAATAAAAATGTGTTGAAATAATTAGATGTAAGTTGACAAAACTGACCCAAGAATAGGTAGGATAATAACTGTTGATTGAAGAATAATAATTTTTTAAAACTTTATTACTCCACAGTTCAGGTAATTTTTGTTTGTTTGTTGAGACAAGGTCTCACTATGTAGTGCACGGTGGCCTTAAACTCAGTTGTGTACCCCAGGCTGCCCTCAAACTCGCAGTGATCCTTCTGCCTAAGCCTCCTGAGTACTTCAGATGATTTTATAATTAGATTGTTTATCTAGAATGATAAATTTCCTGTTGTTTAAAAGATTTTCTTTATATGTGAGTATGTGTATTTATGACTAGCTGCTAGGTAGTCTGAAGCAGAAAAATTGAATGATTGTATCCTGCTTAGGGTACGTAGTGAGACACCATGCTGAAAAGCATTTTACCGCTAAACTATAGTCCCAACCCTAAAAGTTCAGTAAAAAGCTGGGCACAATGGCATGTGCCCTTGGTCCAGGCTGCTATGGGAGCTGAGGTTGGATCATCACTTCAGTCCATGAGTTCACGGTTACTTAGGGCAACATGGCAAGACCTCGGTCTTCCCTATTTAGGTTGTAAAGTTGCTGCTGTTACTAAAATTGATCATTAGCAGAAAAAAGAATGCAGTATGTCAGTTTCTTAATAAATACCAAATCCTAAGTAAAATCTGACAAAACCAAGTCTAGACTTGTGCTAAAAAAAAATGATCAAGGAATATAGATATAATTTTACACTAGTAAACCTGTTAATTCATGTTGATTGGAGACGAAAAATGCTATGATTTTGTGTGATATATTTTAATTGCTGTGTTTTGTGAAAACTCTTAGAAAAGTTAGAAACAGGGTAAACCTTTTAAAAGTTTCTTTTTTTTTTTTTTTTTCGGTACTGGGGATTGAACTCAAGACTGTGCTTGCCAGGCAGATGCTTATTCCGCTCAGCCAAATCCCCGACCCTTTTTAAAATTTCTTAACATCTCTTACGTTGCCATCAGTGTGAGAAACAAGATGGCTAGTGCCTTGTTTTTAGACAGGATTTGGGAGTTCTGAACATTATGATTAATGAAAGAATTGAGTCATTAAAGGAAGGAGCAAAGTTTCAATTTGTAGAACATACAAGTATTTGCCAGAAAATCAAAGGGTGTTCAGATAGTGAGTTCACTTTTTTTCATACAAATAGATACATGAAAACAACAGCTTTCTTTTAGCAGATTTTAGTAACAGTTTGTTCAAAATCCAATGTTTATCCTGACAAGAAATATATGTTTATACATATATACATGTGTGCATGTAAAGCTTTACTGACAAAAAGAACTAAGAGACATTCTCTAAACAAAAGAGAATGTCAAATGAATGGGAAAGCATGGCATTATAGCAGTATCCATTCATGTCAAAGTTTAAAAAGTTAGCATATGTCTAGTAAAATCTCTAAAAGACTTGTAGAAATTTGGAATCATAATTTTTAGCAGTAGAAATCAAAAGAATAGTATCATGAATAACTGTAAAACTACAGAATTTAAACTGGTACTGGCCTATAATGTAAAAAAATTAAGAGTTTGAATCAGTGAACAAGTGGTAGGTTATCAATAAATGTGTTAGGTTAGCTGGCTATCCATTTGGGAAAAAAGATAAGTTCTTATTTTATATTGTACCAAAAAATAAATTCCAGATTTTAAAGTTTTGAATGCAATAAATAAATAAAAATCTTAGTTTGAGAGTGGGGACTCAAGACAAAAATAGAGAAAACGTTACATATTTTAAAAGTATGGTTACATTAACATATACATTCTTGTGTTATATAATTGAAAAACATAATTAAAACATGTTTACAGTGTATTTCTCTAAATATATACCCATACATACTGTATATATGAAATGTATGTGCACTATAAAAGATTATTACCTGTAACATCTATAGTCTACAAAGAAATAAAAATGTGAAGTGTGCAAAGGACATAAATGGTCACTTAAGAAAAATAGTAAATAAAAATACAAAAGGATCTTTTTAAAATTTTCTTAGAGTTTTAATCTGGAGTTTCTAAGATACCAATTTTTTCTTTTTTTTGCCAAATTTATGTAAATTAAAAAGGTTTTATGACCTAGTATTGGTGAGAGTATGAAGAAAACACACTTGTTCATAACTAGGCACATACAATAACAGCTTCTTCAAAGGCAATTTCTTAGTGTTTCACTTCTAGTAATTTGTTCTGCATGTGTTGAAGGATGTATGAAAATGTTCACTACAATGTTGATTTTAGCAATAAAAAGGTAATGAGTCTGTAGCTTGTTGGTAGAACATGTGCTTAGCATATGTGAGATGTTGGGTTTAATCTTCAGACCAAAGGAACAAAAAGAAAATAATAATAAAAGAATAATGCCCATAAGTGAAAAATGGTTGAGTAAGTTGTAGTTAGATAAAACAGAAAACTGTTAACTGACATTTAAATGGAATATACTGTCTGTCCTCTTCTGAGGTATATACTATTAAGGAAAGAAGTTGGATTAAGATTTGAAGAATTAGGAAACACTGATTTTTGACACTTTTTTGTTTTTAAAATATTTTGTAATTACCAAGAAAATACCAAATTAATTTTGGATTTGCTACCTTTCAATGATCTACATGTTTTAGAAAAAGCATTAAAGTTTGAGTGATTCCTGGTACCAGAAAAGAAAGAAAACAAAAGATCAGAAAAAAACTTATCAGTTTTTTGGTCCTGTTTTCTAAATTATACTATGAAATAACTATTTACTCTTCTACCATGAACATGAAATAAAATATTTAAAGTTCTTTTTTTGTTTGTAAAAAAGGTTGATAGAAAAAATGTAAAGTGTATTATTGAAGTGTTTGGCAAAAGAAATATAAAAAACAAGATAAACTAAGACATACTGATAAGCTTTTTAGAGTCCTAATTAAGCATTTTAGTTTCTTTTAGCAACTTACAAAGTAAATGGTACTATTTTGTTTAGTTTTTATACAGTCTCGGGGTTTTAAAACTTTGAAATCGAGGACACGACGTCTGCAGTCCACCTCTGAAAGAGTAGCAGAAACACAGAATGTAGCACCATCCTTTGTGAAGGTAATTAGAGCTTTTTTAACATTTCAGAGAGGAATAATTTTCAAATTATTAAGACAGCAAGGACATATAATATTTTATTTCTTTTGTTGACTGATTAATTTTCTCTTGGTATTTCCTGATAATAAGAAATGAATGACTTACGTAATCATTATACCTGTTGTAATTCCCCTAAGTATGAGCCTTGTCTCTACTTGCTTATTACACAGCTGCTTTTATTTTTCCTACCAACCTATGAATGCTTTTGTGTACCTTGTATAAATAAAGTTAGTAACACTATGGTCAGTCAAAATCTTCTTCCTTCTAGTCTTACTATGTTGTTTTTACCTCCAGACCTACCCATCAGTCTTTACAAAATAATCTAAAGTCAAGTGCTGGGGATATAGCTCAATGGCACAAGTGCCTGCTTGGTAACTGTGAGGTAATGAATTCAATCCCTGATTAAAAAAAAAAAATGTTAAGTAATAAAATGATGACCCAACTCAGTCTGATTTACAGGGCATTTCAAACCTTTACTGACCATTTGTTTTGGTTCTCATTTCTGGTATGCCACTTAGTCTTTTCCCTGTCCCATGCTTTTGACTGCAAGATGTGTCAAATTACACACAGTTCTTAAATGCTGTTCCGTGGCTCTGTCATGTTTTTCCTCTATATAGTTACTATGTCCATTCTCTGTAAGGTCTTTGTGGTTTTCCGTATATAGAATTTCTTTTGCTACGATAACTAGATACCAAAATCTTTTTTCTTTTTTCTTTCTTTGCACTTTATTTTTTTCAAATCCAATTTATTCAAACATAAAAGTACAAAAAAATTTCAAAGCACATCAGTCAGAGGTAGTAATAGTACATACATTGTACGTTGTCATCCCCAAATCATTCACCCAGAGTACAAGACATCTGTGTTCAGTTGTCCAAACAATACCAATACAGATCTTTCTCTTCAGCGAACTCAGCGAAATCAGTAGTCTAACTGTCTTAACTATTTTTATATACATATACACATATATATGTTTTTCTTTCAGCTTGTCACACTAATGAATATGTTCTCAGGGTATATCCATTTACCTATAAAAATGTCCAGTTTATCATTAATTATGGCTGAGTAATATTTTATTGTATAAAAATACCACATGTTTTTTATCCATTCCTCAGTCAGTGGCCATTTAGGTTGTTTCCAAGATCTGGCGATTATAAACTTAGCTGCTATAAAACATGGGTGCACATATATCTCTGTGGTATGATGTTTTTAATTCTTTTTGGGAAGATACCCAGAAGGGGAATAACTGGGTTGAATGGGCCCACCAATCTTAGTTTTTTAAGGAAGCTCCACACTGCCAAAACCATTTTTTAAGAAAATATTTATATATTTTTTCCTAGTGGGCTAGAAACTTTAAGAAGAATGACTTAATTATCTTTATATTTTTAGAACTAGGCTTAGTATGTGCAGGGCAATATTTTATTTTCTTATTTTATTGTCTTTTTGAGACAGGGTTTTGCTGTGCAGTTCAGGCTGGCCTTGAACTCACTTTGTAGTCCGGGCTAGCCTCGAACTCACAATGATCCTCCTGCCTCAGTCTCCTGAGTGCTGGGATTACAGGTGCATGCCACTACGCCTAGCCATGCAGAATAATACTTTAATCTTAATAAGGTAATGAAATTTTTCCTCCAGCAGAGATAAAGTACGGTGAATATCAGACCATTATAATCCTAAGCATTATGTGGCAGTGTTTTCAGTATAGTGTAGTGCAGAGTAATGACACTTTCTTTATGTTAATAATTGATTTGTGTGCGTGTGGGATCTAGAATTAGTATCCTGGTCAGTTGATTAATTTGATGTTGAATCTTAATTTCTTCACATTGGCAATAGAAATGAAATTTTAGACTTGCAATTAATTTTTAGTGGGTGATGATGACATAAATGAGTATTATCCCTGTCTGTACAGTTGACCAATAAATACTGTTGTGTTATTTCATGCATGTAGGGGTTTCTTTTGCGGGACAGAGGAGCAGATGTTGAGAGTTTGGACAAACTCATGAAAACGAAAAACATACCTGAAGCTCATCAAGATGCATTTAAAACTGGTTTTGCAGAGGGTTTTCTGAAAGCTCAAACATTAACACAAAAAACCAATGGTAAGTTGATTTGAGAAAAATAACTGAAAAGATGTCATAGGCCTACATTTAAACTATTACAAATGATTTTTCTGAAATCATTCATCCTGTTTCCCAGCATTCAGGAGGCTGCAGCAGGAGGATAACTAAGAGTTTGAGACCAGCCTGGGCTACATAGTGAGCTCAGGGCCAGCTTGCAATTAAATAGTGGGATCCTGTCTCAAAAAACAAAAATTCATCCATCTTCTTACATGGGTGTATTCCATTATAAGTTAAACTATGTTTGAGTAGAAATATTGGCAGTTTACTTTCTCAAGAGATAAGTCAAGAACAGAAAGCATATGTGGTTTCGTGAAGTTTTGAGGAAGAAGATGCTGAAAGGCTGTGGCTGTGCACAAGAATGCTAGCTTCCAAAATTGCACATTATAAAAGTATAATTATCAGTATCCTGATACTTGCATTTTGTTTAGCTGCAATATCTCATTGGTGGTATTCAGCTTAAGCCTTTCTCTCTCTCTTCCAGATTCTTTAAGGCGAACTCGTTTAATTCTTTTTGTTCTGCTTCTGTTTGGCATTTATGGACTCTTAAAAAATCCATTTTTATCTGGTAAGGATGCTTTTATTTATCTGCCATGTTAACTTTTTTCTTTCTTTCTTTCTTTTTTTTTTTTTTTTTTTTTTTTGTGGTAATGAATCAAACTCATGTCCCCGTGCTTGCCAGGCAGGCACGTGTGTCCCTGAGCTAAATCCCCGGCAACTTTTTTATTTCTTTAAGTATTCTTTTCCTTTTCACTGTTTGTAGATTATGTAGGCTTTTTGTGTTTCAATGATGAAATACCCAAGGCTGACTATTGAGTACTTTTTCTAAAAGAAAGAGGTTGATTTTAGCTTGTGGTTCTGGGGGTTCGTGGGTGTGGCACCTGGTAAGGAACTGCTGGTGGATTGCATTACAAGACCTTTCATTCCTAGTGGTTAGTTTTCTAGGGTTTTAGAAAATGATACATGTGGGATGATCAAATTTTAGCATCATGTAGGATGTTATAATAACAATATAAGGCAGTCTTGTGCTTCAAAGACAAGCCCATAAATTGAATTTTTTCTTAATCAGATGAATCCAGTATCTTTTCAGTTTGCAGTTCTGAAATACAGTTATAAATACCACATGTAGGTGGTTCTAATTACTTTCTCAGCTATCATTCAGTTTTTACCATATGTTCATTCTTTGTAGTTATTTAAGATCCTTAAACAGTTCATTAAAAGGCTCAAACTGTTAGTGTCCATTCTAGAATTACTGTTTTATATATGTATTTTCCCACTTGTGTGTTCCTGTTGTGTTAGGCATTTCTTCTGTTAGAAATTTTTTTTGTTTTTGTCTAAGAAATTGAACCCAAGACCTGCACTCAGCTGTATCCACAGTCCTTTTTACTGTGAGACAGAGTCTCACTTGATTTGTCCAGGTAGGCCTGAGCTTGAGATCGCCCTGCCTCAACCTCCCAAAATGTTGGAATTACACACATGTACCACCATACCGAGCAAGCATTTCTTTCTTTTGCCTTTAAATTTCACTATGTCTTAATGGCAATCTTTTAGTTTCATGAAGTTATTAGAAATCACTGTACTCATTTGTAACTGTTCCACTTGACCCGGGGAGCAATTTTTAAAAACTTTGTAACAGTTGCTCAGGGTAGCTTTGAAGTATTTTATCCTACCAAACTCTTCCTCTCATATGCTTAAAGATGTCATTATTGAAAAATACTTAAAAAGTGAAATCATTTCTTTCCTTCTTTTAATTAAATGAATGGACCGGGTTTTTATGCTGTGTTTAAGGCAATATATTTCACAATGTAGATCTGTAACCAGTTGTGTCAGAATAATTGAAGGTGCTTGTTAAAAATGCAACCTCCTGGGCTCTTTCTCAAATCTGCAAACTATTAGTGTGTAGCACGGTTTTGAAGATTTGCATTTTAACACAGTTTTCAAGTGGTTTTTCAAAAATTCATACTGAAATTTGATAACCATTGATTTTAAGCTTTCTATTATTAGTCCAAGAACAGGAAAATAATTTTTGGTTTTAAAGGAAAGTACAAAAATATATGTCTTTAATGTGAATCACTTGCTATTTGAACATGATCTAGAAATCAGAAGACCTATTTTCTGTTCTGTACTTTGTTTCGGTGTTTGTGAACAGAGATTTTTTCCGATGTTTAATTTTGGAGGCTTTGGTTTCTTACATCTAAAAATTAAGATGATTGAAATTTTGTTAATCTGTTAAATATTAACATCTGTTTTCTTCCATTTAGTCCGCTTCCGGACTACTACCGGGCTTGATTCTGCAGTAGATCCTGTTCAGATGAAAAATGTCACTTTTGAGCACGTTAAAGGAGTAAGTTTTCTTTGCCTTCTTTGTACATTATATAATTGATACTCAAAGGACAGCATTTGATTCTAAAAGTTGTTCTGAAACAGATAAATTTAAAAAACTAGCAACCTTAGCATCTTTATGGGGACCAGTTTAAAGAAGAGAGGGAGAGGGTCTGCGTTTTTATATAAGGTTTTTTGTTGTCCCCCTTTTCTTGGTCTTTTTAAGACATAGTTTCACTATGCATTTTAGCTTGGCCTTGAACTCACTTTATAGGTCAAACTAGCTTGGAGGTCACAGTGATCTTCCTGCATCAGCATCCCAAGTGCTGGGGTGACAGGCATGTGCCACCACATCCAGCTTTAAATAAGGTTTTTCAGGTTTAAGTATGGAACTAAATAGGTAAAAAGATAGTAGGAGATAAGGATTTGTGTAGGAGCACTTTGGATAATGTCTTAGAAGCCATTATAAACACAGCCTTTTAGTCTGTGAAAATTGGTTCCATAAAATTTTGAACAAAGATATGGTGTGGTTTAACAGTGTAGTTGTTGTGTTCATAGCCTCTAAAGTCTAGAAAGTACAAAGTTAGATGACAGCCTGTTGCTGTCATCCAGATAAGAGATGATGCTAAGACAAACATTAAAGTGAAGTTGGTAAGATGTAGTTAGGTCTTGAAGGTAGGTACAGTAGGATTCCCTGATTAGAAGTTAAAAGTATAAGAGAAATACAGATCAAGAAGACCACAAGTATGAGCAGAGCAGTTAGAGGAACAAAATTCCCATTTCTGAAATTAAAAAATTAGACTGTGGATGGAAGCAATATTCAGAATAAAGATAAGAAATTCAGTTGTAGTAATGTTAAATGTGAGGTGAGAGCACTGAATATGCACTTGAATACATCTTTTAGGAATTTTGGGGAAAGTTCAAACTGAAATGAAAAATCCTGAAGTTTACATTTAAGATATGAACTCTATGTGTTTAAATGAGATTACCAAGGAAGTGAGTACGCCTAGCAAAGAGAAGAGTTCTAAACCTAAACTTTAGCGTACTCACGGGTTAACACGCCAGAGGAAGGATCAAGAGCAGGGAATGAGGAGCTGTCTGTGAAGTAGTAGGGGAGGGGATAAACCAGAAAAAAATATTTCCTCACCAGGGAAGATGGGCCAGCTAGCTGTGTGAGGTGATGTTGATGGTTCCAGTGATAATTGACTTTCTTTTTAGCAGTGTGTCATTGTTGTACTTGATAATGAACAATTTCAGTGTGATAACAGGTGTTAAATTGTGAATGTTCATCAGCAGAAAATAAAGTGGGGTGTTAGTAATGTAGTAGGTGGAAGCTGATTGTGAAACCAGAGTCAGGATCATCGACTGAGAATATGGATGGAAGAGCAATGTGTAATTTCTGAAAAAGGGAGTTTTGTGACAATGGGAGAATGAGTGGATTAAGGAAATATGACACTTGGAGCCACTCAAATTTGGATCATAAATTTATATCAAAGACCAGTCAACATAAATATTTCTGATTTTAATTTTTTTCTTCAAATGCAAATTCTGAAACTTTAGTTCTATACTGTGCTTTATTAATAAATCTGATATGTATTTGATTTTATGAGTGATAGAGACTGAGTAATTGCCTTTCAAGGAATGTTTAGGGAGAAACTTTCTATAAGAAAAATTGAAATTTATGATCTACAGCTTCCAACTCTGATGTGGAATTTTAATAAGGGCTGTTAGCTGGGTGTGGTGGTTCATGCATGTAATCCCAGCGGCTGAGTCAGAAGGGTTACAAATTAGATACCCTGGGCAATTTAGCAAACCCATGTCTCAAAATAAAAATTAAAAGGGCTGGGATGTTCTCAGTTTAATGTAGAGTTTAATCCCTTCTACAGTAATCAAATTTTTAAGAAATTAGAAAGGCCTAGTGCCATCACCACACACACACACACGTGTGCAAATTAATATGGGCTCCTTAAAATAATTCATTTTTTAATCGTGTTTAGCACCATTTTCTTGAATAGGTTTTATATTCCACTGGTAATACTTTGCCAAAAAGATTGAAAGAGAATTTGAGAAGTAAGTACTCTCTTATTTTACTCTTTCACTTTAATGTTGGCATTATATCCATGTGGAATGTGGAGCGCAGGCTGACCTCAAACTTGAGGCAATCCTTCTGCCTTCTGCTGGGGTTTCAGGAGTGCACCAGCACACCTGGCTGATTTTTTTGACCAGTTTTTTTTTATCAGTCTTGTTTTCCTAGGTGTCTGCCTTTGAATACTTTTTTTAAAAAAATACTCTCTTTTTAATTTAATCAGCCAATAGGTGAAATTTATTGCAGAATAATTTGTATGTTTGTGTATGGAAAGCAGAAAAATAATTACATAATCTAAAAATGCAGTTAGGAAATTAAGGAAGAAAAAGACAAAGTTAACACTCTTGCAAACCATATGCCTGTTTATCTTCATAGTGCTGAGATTTCAAGTGTGTGCCACTACATCTGATCATTATGTGGGGAAAAAATGTAGTCTTTTAATAATGCAGCCAGAACATTTTAAGCATAAGTTTTTTGAAATGTGACATGTTCACATAAAGGTGTCCAAACCACAAATCAACACAAAGCACACCTATGTCAGTAGTGCCCAACTGAAGAAACAGGGAGATTATTAACAGACCTCCAGAGCCTCTTGTTAGCTTTTTTCTACTTACTGTTTCCTCCTCTCTCTGTATAATCATATTCCTGATATTTTACATTAGTTTTCCCCTGTTTCTGAGGTTTTTTTTTTTTTTTTTTTTTTTTTTTTTTTTTTTTTTTTCAAATAGTTGTAATACCTGTAGAATGTGCCCTTTCAGGTTTGGCTTCTGTCATTCAGTGTGATGCTTTTGAGATCCAGCCATGTTATTTGGAATTGTAGTTAATTTATCTTCATGGCACAGTAATGCTATTGTACAAATACTGTAGTACTGTGTATTAGGTTTTTATGTGGTTGTTTGTAGTTTGGCATAAATAATACTCTTAAACATGTATCTTGTTGAACACATGTTTGCATTTCTTTTGGGCTTTGGAGTGAGCAAGGCTTTGTTATTAACGATTAACTTTGTGAACGTTTTAGTAAAAATTTTAAGGATTGAATCAGTAACTTTCAAAGACCTACCAAGCTTAACAAAAACTAGCCAGAAAAACCTTTCTGACTCTAGCAGTTGTAATGTTTTCTAGGTAGGCATGGTGGTGGACACCAAGTAGTCCCAGCACTCAGGAGGCTGAGGCAGAAAGATCACTGCAAATTTCCAAGCCAGCCTTTGCTGCATATTGAGATCAAGGCCAGCCTGAACTACAGAGTGAGACCTTCTGTCAAAACCAAACCACACCAAACAAACAAATCATAGTGTTTTCTGTAAATTCTTGTGGGAAATGTCCCACAAATAGTGGTAAAAACTAATCATGACCCAGAATTGTAGGTTCTCAACTTGCCTTTTGGCCATGCTTGCTGTGGTAATTTCTTTTTAACCCTGCCCCGTGTTCTTTTTGTTTATTGAGGAAATGTAAGAATTTCAAATCATTTTTGTTGGCATGATTAGGAGACATTGTATAGTTGGAAACAAGGAAAAGGAAAGAAGCTTTTGAGTGCTTATACGGGAGCATTTTTGTATACTTTTTCCTTGACATAAAGAGAAAGCCAAGTTAATTCTGTAACCAAAGTAAACTTGTGATGTTTAAAGCTTTGTTAATTTACTAACTTGGTAATTTACTAACAAGAAGCATTATTTAAAATATTTGACAAATTATCTTACTTTAGGTGGAGGAAGCTAAACAAGAATTACAGGAAGTTGTTGAATTTTTGAAAAACCCACAGAAATTTACTGTGCTTGGGGGAAAACTTCCAAAAGGTAGAGTAACTTTTCCCTTAACATGATTTTATGTCATTAAATAATATGTTTTTAATTTAATTTTATTAGGGACTAACTGATTAGAAGTTAGTTAATACTATTTTTAAAACTACGTGCTTTTCTGTGTTAAGATAGATGACCATATTACTAAGTTTTTGTTGGTTCATTGAACACAATTGTTTGCAGTCTCACTGTTTGAATGTCCACTTTGTATGCTTTAATCCTGTAACTTGAACAACTATTTCTAAGATGACTATGTAATCTATTAACTAGTGATTTTTTACTGGTTTTTTTTGAAATTCTGTATTACTTGTATCCTTATTCTGTCTGTTTTCTCCTTTAAATAAAAAAAAAAAAGTGCTTTTTAATATAGCCTTCCATAAGCCTTTTTTAGTAATTTACATTTTTTTATGTGTTGGAGCTTTAAGTTGCAAAAATAATCTAAAAGTTTGTTCTTTCCATACCTGAAACCCACCCTTAGTACTGTGCTGTTTTTTTCTCTTTATATGCCTATCTTTACTTAACCATTTGAGAGTCAGTTGTAGACATAATACTTCGTTACTCCTAAATATAGTACTTGTATTAGAGATACTGTAAGGATATTCTTTTATATAATTCTAGTATAACTATTAAAATTAGTAAATTTATTGTGGATAAAAAACAATTACCAATTCACATTTCATAGCCAGCATTCATTCCAAGAGTATCCTTCAAGGACTATCCAATAGTATCCTTGTCCTCCATCCCCCAGTGTTGAGATCCAGTCAAGGATTGCACAGAGCCTGTAGTTTTATTAATATGAGATAGCTCTTCATCCTTTTTGTGGGTAGAAAAGAGGGTCTTTCATAACTTTTACAATTATGAAATATTAATTGCTAAATTATAGCATGTGTTATCATTTATATTGAATTTTAATATGGTTTCCAATTTATTATTATTAAAAATAGCACTGTGATGACCATCCTAATAGTCTTTGCCTTCATGTTTATTTTCCTAGAATGAATTTCTAGAAGCCCTCTTTTTTAAAGAGGATAAAATTAACCAAAATAAAACAATAAAATCAATCAAAATAAACCAGTATAAGTGAGACAGGACTTCAGAATCTTATGAAATCAAAAATAGTCACCATAATGCCTTTTGTTGTCTTCAAAATAGCTGCAGATACCTTTGGACTTAGTAAAAATTGAATGGAATAGAAACAGTAAAAACAAAACAATGAATGCAATAAAGGACTTCAAAACAAGTCTATAGTAAATCCAAAATTGCTACCATAATATGTCTTGTTATCTTAAATAGCTGCTTATGTCATCAGATTTAACATTATCAAACAATACAAAAGAGAACAAAACCCAACCCAACAAAACAGTGAAAATGATACAGTTTCCAGATGGAGATTGCTTCCTAGTGTGGTCTTGTTCTCTCCCTCCACAGTCCATGAATGGTGCTGACTCACAGAGAAAGGTTTGGGTTGTCACTACTCTGGTAGTGGCCTGCACATGGCACTGGTTTCCAAGCAGGGATCACCTCTTGGTGAGGCCTGGTTCTTTCCCCCTGCATTCTGTGGATGTCTCTGACTCACAGAGAGAGGCTTGGGTCTGGCTGTCAAAACTCTCTTCTTTTATACTGCTTGATATCTATTGAGAATTCAGGAATACACAAGAATGTTTGCATGAACCTTTGCTACATTAGGGTATATTTATGAAGTCTGTGCTATAGCATCATAGAAAACCAAAACAAATTATCTTCTTCTAATCAGGGAGTGTTTTATAAATGTGTGGATACATCCTTAGGTACTAAGATGTAGTCTCTAGAAGTTAATGTGATTTAGGAGCTGGGGATTTAGCTCAGCGGCATAAGTACCTGCCTTGCAAGCAGGTGGTCGTGAGTTCGATCCCCGGTACCGATAAAAATGGAAAAGACAAAAAAAAAAAAAAGAAGTTAATGTGATTTAAATTAATATCATACAAACTATTTAAGTATGGGTAAAACTAGGATAGTCCTCAGTCTTTTTGTTTTTTAGTCCTCAGTCTTTTCAAGCTGTCCTATAAAATATTTTTTATATTACAGTGCAGCATCAATACAGCTTTATTTTTTAATCTGTATTTTTACCAAGTTGTGATATGAATGAGAATTGTACTTTTCCATCTTATTATGAAAACTTTTAAAACTTCTCGCATAGGTTATTTACCTAAATTCAGCAGTTGTTAATGTTACTGTGTGTGTGTGTATGTTTGTGCACATGTGTGCACACATGCATATAGTATGCCTTTCTCCCCTGAACATTTGAAAGAAAGCTGTAGATAATAGCTTGGGTATAAGACTACTTAAGAGTAAGGACATTGTCCTAATTTGTCCTTCACAAGGAAAACACTAGATTTTCAAAATATACTCTCCAGTATTTGTTTTTTATGGAAAAGTATCAAAATTCATGCATTACATTTAGTTGTTTGTCTTTTAATGTAAATTTTATTTATGAGTAGGTTTATATTATTTTGCTGCATAAATGTGTTTATACTACTTTCCTTGTATAGTCTTATATAAACATCTTTTGTATCTTGCTGATATATAAACAGTATTTAAATGACAGCGGGAAATTAATTATAGAGATCCTCAAGGGAATGATTAGCAGAGACAAATGTTTTCCTGGGTTTGAAAATGTTGATGATGTCTATTCTTTGAGCTTCTTCCGAATTATGTCAATTGTTTTATAGGTTCTTACTGGGGATTTTTTAATAACATATTTGAATCACTTTTGTTTTTCTTTTAGGAATTCTTTTAGTGGGACCACCAGGAACAGGAAAGACACTTCTTGCCAGAGCTGTGGCAGGAGAAGCTGATGTTCCTTTTTATTATGCTTCTGGATCAGAATTTGATGAAATGTTTGTGGGTGTGGGAGCCAGCCGAATCAGAAATCTTTTTAGTATGTTGTGGTGTATTTTTTATGCATTGTTAAATGTTGTTCATTTTAGGAGGAAAATGATTTTTAATTATTTTTGCTACTTGGTTGTGCGTGATAGTCAGCAGAAAGAGGCACTGTGGGATTCTGGTTTCAAATAACTAAATATATATAAGTTAATATAGAGTTGTTACTAGTTTTCTAATAGGCTGATCATTTTAAGAAGTGATATGGTGATATGGTGCACACCTGTAATCCCAGCACTTGGAAAATTGAGACAAGAGGGTTGCCATGAGTTCAAGGCCAGCCTGGGCTATTTAAGTGAACTGAAGAACAGTTTGCCCTGCCTTTTTAAAAAAAAAAAAAAAACGCAATGAAAGGGCTGGCTGGGACTTTTGAAAACTTAGGGTTTTTTTTTTCCCATTTTATTCATGATATTTAATTAGGAGTTATTGGCCTCTAAAGTGATTTGTACAATTAGGAAGAATGAATAGCCAATAATAGTCAATTATTATTATTTTATATCATTCTCTTTGGTTTATTTTTCCCCGTACTACTATTCTTAGTAAAAAATGATCTTTTGTGAATTTTCTTCTTATGATTTTTTTCTGTTTTTAACTCTTAACAGTCTTAGGCATTTTAATATTTATAAGGTTTTTAGTTAATTTTTTTCAACTTATTTGAATACTTTCTGTTTTCATAGGGGAAGCAAAAACAAATGCTCCTTGTGTTATATTTATTGATGAATTAGATTCTGTTGGGGGAAAGAGAATTGAGTCTCCAATGCATCCGTATTCAAGGCAGACTATAAATCAACTTCTTGCTGAAATGGATGGGTAATAAGAGTCTTTGTTTGTATGTGAAATATACTGTTATTTTTTAAAAATTAGGATTCATCCTGTCGTTAAAATTGTTTGAAATAATAGGTCCCTCCCGGCACTTGATATATGTAAATGTGATTTCATGCATCCTGGTCTCATAAAGCATTTGATAATAAAAATGGTATGGGTATAGAGAGCTTTCCTCACAGTATCATATTACTTCCATTACCAATTGAGTGTTTTATGTATCAGCTTTGCCCCTTTGTTCTTGCAGTTTTGAGCTGCCTTTGATGTACTGCTGGTGTTAAAACTTAGATCACTGTTAACCATTTAAAAGCAAGAAATGATGTTGCTTTGAAAGAAATGTCTTTAAAATCATGTGGGTGAGACTTTTTGGAAATAGTCTTAAAATTTTGTGAGGTCTGCATCCTGGAGATTGGACCCTCTTGCGTTTTATTTTATTTTGGCCAGACTGATTTTGAACTTGAGACCCTTCTATTTTACATCAGTATCTGTAGTAACTGAAATTAGTAGAGATAGGCTTGGTTTAGGAGTTTTTTCAAAAATGAATCAGGCACCCAGCACCTGCTTTTTGTATCAGGTCATGGTTGCCTAAGGAGAACAGATAGATTCATGATCGCAGATGATGTGTGGTTTATTATGAGTCTCTTCCTGACCTTTCACTAAAATTAATGATGGGGGGCCTGGAGATTTAGCTCAGTGGCATGAGTGCTTGCCTGACAAGCTCGAGGGTCGTGAGTTCAATCCCCAGGACCAAAAAAAAAAAAAAAAAAAAATTAACATAAAATTAATGATGAAAGAGCTTTGTGCAGATTATTGCTGTATGTGTAATATGCTTCAATTGTAAGTAAAAGGATACTCTTTTCTTTTCCTTAATAGTTTTAAGCCCAACGAAGGAGTAATCATTATAGGAGCCACAAACTTTCCAGAAGCATTAGACAAGTAAGTATTAAAAGAAAGTTTTTGCAAAATACATCATATGCTTTACTTTATGCTAAGAGAAGAGAACCATCACAAAAGACATTATAGTGCTGGGGATTTAGCTCAGCGGCATATACGCCTGCCAGGCAAGTGCAAGGTCATGAGTTAGATCCCCGGTACCCCCCGTCCCAGCCAAAAAAAAAGATGACATTATATGATTGCATTTATATGAAATGTTCAGAATAAGCAGATCTGGGCAGGGCATTTAGCTCAGTGGTACAAGCGCCTGTCTGGCAAGCATGCGGTCATGAGTTCAATCCATGGTACCATAAAAAAAATAAGCAGATCTACAGAGACAGAAGATGAGCATGCCACAGAATTGTGAGGAAAGGAGAGTGACTGTCTGTAGGAATGGTACTTCTTTTTTGTGAGGATGAGAATATTTGAAAATTAGTTTGAAGTGCACCCCTCATCATTATACTTCTCAATAAAATTATTAAAAGATTGTTTTTTTCTTCATTATTGTCCTGGCTGGTCTTGAATGCCCAGGTTCCAGCAATCCTCCTATCTCATCCTCCCAAGCAGCTGAGACTACAAGCATGTGGTATCACTCTAGAAGTACTGCCCTTGGATGATTTACACGCATATATTTGTTATTGAAATTATATGCTACTTTTGGTTGCACATCTACCTAAATGAACCTTTGATCTACCTTTTTTAAAACATGAAGTCTTGTTATATGGCTCAGCCCACATTGAACCTCATGATTTTTCCTTCCTTAGTCACCTGAGCAACTGACCTTATAGACGTGTGCCAGCATGCCGAGCTACCTTCTGTTTATTGAGACTGTTGTTTCAGTCTTGTGTTTATTATGTGTAAGCATAGTTAGCTTATTAATTTATATTTTGTTTTTACATTTTTCCTTTAGTGCTTTAATTCGTCCAGGCCGCTTTGACATGCAAGTTACAGTTCCAAGACCAGATGTCAGAGGTCGAACAGAAATTTTGAAATGGTATCTGAATAAAATAAAGTTTGATAAGTGTAAGTCTGATTCTGTAATACACGTTATTATCTCTCTTTGTATTCCTCACCTAATGCCTTAAAAGTCCCATTCATTTATTCATTTAAAAAAATCTATTTCTTAATTTGTGTGTATCCAGCAAATGTTGTCATTTTCAATTTCTTACTCTAGAGGAGTTTTCTTTGGGATATCAAAATACATTTGGAAATTTTTTGTGTATAAATTTTTTAAAATGCAAATGTGCAATGCAAAATAATTTAAAAGGCTCCAAAACAAGGATTTGTGTTGTAAGTTTGGGGCCGATAGGGAGAAAGCAAAATGTAAAACAAGACACACGGAACTACTGTGCGTTCACTTGAAATATAAACGCACCTATCAAGGTGCCAGCGTTTTCAGAGATAGGTGAAACATTCCATAAAGCTAAATGTGTTTCCTGTAATAAAAGAGAGCTTTTATATCTAAACTGTTATTTCAAGGTAAAATTTGAGGAACCAAATGTTGTCTGTATGTTTCTTTATTCTCAGTTGTTTTAGTTTATTCTTAGGCTGATAACAGTCAGGTTGTATTTGAAGTTTCTAATTAGTTACATTTAGAACTTTCACAATTTTTTCCCAGTTATAATTTTAATAGTATATTTTGGCACTTTCTCCTATCTTGAATCTGATTTTAAAGGTGAATATTTTGCTATACTACAGAAAGTTGTGTTCTTTTTTCTTTAAAATATAAATTCTTCGTAAAGTACTTTCAATTTAGCTATTTTAGATGTTAATATTGTGTTCTATTTTTACATAGCTGTTGATCCAGAAATCATTGCTCGAGGAACTGTTGGGTTTTCTGGAGCAGAGTTGGAGAATCTTGTGAACCAAGCCGCATTAAAGGCAGCTGTTGATGGAAAAGAAATGGTTACCATGAAGGAACTGGAGTTTTCCAAGGATAAAATTCTAATGGGTAGATTTTCTTTCTTTTTTGTCCGATATTCTTCATGATGTTTGGGAATTAATTTTTTTTTGGTAAATATTTTTTGTAGACAGCTAATCTCTCAGACTGTACTGAATTTAATCTTCCTCTAAAATTTCAGTGAGTATTGAAATGTTAATAAACCATTTCATATATTCTCAGTTTGAGAGTCAAACAATTCTCATTACACAATAAAGCAGGCATTAATCATACCTGTCTTGTCACTATAGACTTTTTTACAGCGTGGCACATTTGTTTTGTTTCTTAAAAGGCTTTGTTTTTTTCCTGATTGAAAAGAGAAATGTTGAATCCCAGCAATTGGTAGGCTGAGGCACAAGAATTTCCGTGAGTTCAAGGCCAGTCTGCACTATATAGTGAGACTTTGTCTTAAGGGAGGATAGGGCTACCAAATAAATGGATAGGGCTGAGGGTTGTAACTTAGTAGTGTATGTGAATCCCTGGATTTGATAACCCAGCATTACAAAAATAAAAAAGAAAGGTTACAGAAGCATGAAAATATGTACCTGAAAACAGCAACACAATATGGTCTATTTTATTTTATTTATGTATTTTTTACAGTTTGATCCCTTAAAGAACAAATTATTTTAATAGCTTACATGACTTAGGATGTTTGTGGTAAGCTGCCTGTACAGTTTCTCTTGTCTAGCATTGCCGATAAATTTAGTTAATTTTATGCTGTTTAATCTTTACTTTAAATCTTGGATTGGCTTAAAAAACAGATTATGACTTCCAATAAACTGAAAGTTTGTTTTTTAGAAAGAAAAATTAACCTTTTCTTACTATTTTTTTTTCTCTCTCTTTTTTTTTTTTTTTTTTTTTTTTTCGTTTTTATCGGTACCAAGGATCGAACTCACAACTGCCTGCTTGCAAGGCAGGTGCTTATGCCACTGAGCTAAATCCCCAGCCCCTACCTTTTCTTATTATAAGGATAAGGTGATAGTTTCTTTTTTCTTTGTGTGCTATTTTGTTTTGTGATGCTAGGGTTTAAACCCAAGACTCTCATGTGCTAGCCAAGTGTTTTACCACACAGGCCATCTGCACCCCAGTTGATAGTTTTAAAATGTTTGATTTGCTTTTAACAGTATATTTTAATTTCTGTATGTCATAGATTGAATTTTACTAATTTCTGAAATATCACACTGTTTAAAATATTTGGAATACAGTTACCTAGTAAACATCTTTCACCTTTCTGCAGCATCGGTTATCAAATTCATTTGGTTCCAAATGCATATTTGAACAATACAAAGTTCGAGAACTGAACATGTTTTTCCTATAATAATAGAAAACTACGTAGTTGGTTCTGAGGCCCAAACATTACATAAGTACTGTATATTGTCTATGCCAGAACTGAGACTGGAGCAATGTCTCTTTATGTGTACAGCAAGATGTGATGTGTGACTCACTCTCAGCCTGTCCAGTTCTTTCAAGTCAGATTTCCAGTTTGACTGTTGAGCAAAATTATGAACACCAAGCAGATTTTTTTGAACTTTGCTGTTTGAGTAGTGCAGAGTTCGAGCTTGGAACTATTTGACAACGAAGTTATCGCTGTTATTACTTTCAGAATTAAAGATAATGATTTGTTTTGGGTTTTCGTTGTTGTTGTTATTTTATATTAATCCCCAAACAATAGATGTTATTTTAAGTACACTTTCTATGCAGTACATAACTTAAATTTTCTTTGTAGGCCCTGAACGAAGAAGTGTGGAAATTGATAACAAAAACAAAACCATTACAGCTTACCATGAATCTGGTCATGCTATTATTGCATATTACACAAAAGATGCAATGCCTATCAACAAAGCTACAATCATGCCACGAGGGCCAACTCTTGGACATGTAAGATTGTTACGGTTTCTTTTATTTGCTTTCTAATAGAGCTTTCCAGAAATTTATGGAAAAAATTGCTGATTAGTTACAGTGAAGCTACTTTTCAAAAAGTGATAGCTTCTCTTTTAATTCATGAATCTTTTTGAAATCAGAGCCATTTGTGAAGTTTTTCTATTAATAAAGAATATTTCATAATGTATTTCAGATGTTTTATATTTATATTATGAAAGCTTAACTGAGTGCAAACTCTTAAATAATTTAGTGTTCAACTAGTTAGAGAAATTATGTTTTGTAATGACTAGGTCTATAGCTTTTCTAATTTTTTTTATTTAGTAGAAGTTTTATTTACATCTTTAAAACATTTAAAATATAAAAACATTAAAATGTTTAAAACATTTTAAACTTTTGTTTTTTTTTGAGGCAGCGTTTCACTATATAATTCCGGCTAGCCTTTAATTCACTTTGTAGCCCAGGCTGGCTATGACCTCGAAGTGATCTTCCTGCCTTGGCCTCTCAAGTGCTGGGATTACAGGTGTGTGCCACTGTGCCCTGCTTTGCATTGTAAACATTTCTTATGTAATTGAAAGCAAAATAGGCCTGTTGAAGCATTATCTACCTATTGCTTTTAAAATTCATAATTTTTTTTCCTGTCTAAATTGCTGCTTTTGCTGGACATGGTGACCCATGCTTATAATCCTAGCACCCAGGATACTGAGGAAAGAGGATCACTGTGAGTTTGAGGCCAGCCTGGGCTACACAGTGAGTTGAAAGTTGGCCTGACCTGCATAGTGAGACCCTGTCTTAAAAAAGAAAAAATTGATGCTTTTGTCATTAGTCACCTGTTAATATCTTTTCACTTTTCTGCAGCATTATACTAAATGCTATCTGTGATGAGAGTTACATGGTAATTCTGATTTTACTTTCAGGACTCTATGTGAATTCTTTGGCTATTGTCTGATTATTTTTCAATTGTCTAGGTGTCACTGTTGCCTGAGAATGACAGATGGAATGAAACTAGAGCCCAGCTGCTTGCTCAAATGGATGTTAGTATGGGAGGAAGAGTGGCAGAGGAGCTTATATTTGGAACTGACCATATTACAACAGGTTGATATTCGATAATGGCTTTACTTTAAATTGGGTTTGTTGATTTAAATTTTGTTTGTAAAAAAAAATGAGGTGTATTTTTAATTTTTTAAAAAAAATTTTAGGTGCTTCCAGTGATTTTGATAATGCAACAAAAATAGCTAAGCGGATGGTTACCAAATTTGGAATGAGTGAGAAGGTAATACTTTTGTTTTCTTGCGTCAGATGATACACCAAGTGCCTCTTTTAGAAATCTGATTATGAGGTATATTTACTTTTTCCAGTCACGTTCCAAATGCAGTTGAGATTGTTTGTTCTAAACAGTGCTGTAATATTTTGCCAAAGTGTAGCATTCTTTTAGCTGCTTCAGAATTATATAGATAGTAACTGTTATTTCATGAGTTAACTAAACGTTAAAACAAAATTATTTAGCCTTTTCATATCACATTAAAAACTTACTTTCTGAGCCCCTTTATCTTTTACAAATATTTCATATTTCCACATTATTGCTGTGTCTCCCTCAATCACTTCCATACTTCAGATGAAGGATTTCTGGATTTGGAGCCACGGTTTCTAAGAATGCAATCAGGTCCAGAATTAAAAGATTTAAAATTTTTCCACCTTGTGCACCCTTAGTATTTTGATTTTAGTCTTTTATAGTTTCAAAAGAAAGATAAAATTTCTTTGCCCTGACAAACATTTTTATGTTCTTAATCTCCTATGGTATTTGTTACTTAGTATATAGGCTAGTTCATTCTCTGTTAAATTCTTTGGCACTTTGTTCTTTCCTGCTTAATTACTCTACTCTTTTTTATTTTAGCTTGGAGTTATGACTTACAGTGACACAGGGAAACTGAGTCCTGAAACTCAATCAGCCATTGAACAAGAAATAAGAATCCTTCTAAGGGTAATAGTATTATGTGTCTGAACTTCTTTTAGAGATAAGGTGCCTAACTAGGTACAGTAAGTCCCTGACTTAGGAACATGTTCTGTTCCAGAAAGACTTTTATAAGTCACATTTGTGCTTGTGTCCGACAAAGTGAGTCTTACACTAATATACAATGAAAAAACCAAACACAAATATTTAGTAAGTCTCTGACTGTACTGTGCTACAGATACACTGTACAGTGAGCATACAGCAGCACAACTGTGACAGTATCTGGAAGACACATAAGCTACTTCCTTGATTTGTTCACCATCTATGAATGTTCATAATTTGAGGTTCATTCATACCTGTGAATATTCACAGCTCAAATATTTGTTAAGCTGGGGACTTACTGTACTTTCAAAATGATAAGGGACCAGGATTGGTGGCACATGCCTGTGATTCCAGCCTGTAGCAGGCTAAAGTAGGAGACTGCCATAAGTTCAAAGCAAACCTTATTACATAGTGAGACTCTGTGTCAGATGAAGAACAAAAACAAACAAAGCAAAACAGAGACAAGGTCTAGCTTGTTTAAAGCCCTAGGTTTGATCCCCAGCACCACAAATTAACCATGTGATGGCAAAGCTCTGTGTTGAGTAGAAACATCACCCTTATAAAAATAAGTGTATTTTGTAGGAATGATTTAAATACATTATCAAGAAACCCTTTTCTTGAATTGAGTCCTTATTTTAGTTTGATCGTAGGCTGAATAGAATTCAGTTCTACGTTAGCTACAAAATTATAAGAGATGATAGAATGAGGGCTGCTTTTCACTGAATCTGTCTGTTTCTGTTCTGAGATATATGTGTGTAGCTAGTAGTATTGTTTATTCAGTTTGTGCCTTGCAGTTGCATGTGCTCACAATGCAGAATAAACAAGGCAAAGGACCTTTTCACTGCATTGCCGCATTTAGATTAGGTAAAGGGATTTTGTATTAGTGCTTATAAGAGCTTACAGGGCTGGGGCAAGGCTCCTCAAAAGACTGTACATACAGGACATAAAAATTTACAAGATTGGCCTCCAGTAGCCATCCTTAGAGTCAAATATACAAGAGTGCAAAAGATCGTCTGCTTTGGAGATGCAAAGTACTGGCCCGAAGGCTTCAAGTCCATGGCACTATCCCTTACAAGTCCAGTGAGGAGGCTGAGTCTGCATAAGAAGGCCAAAGGATCCTCAGTGGAAGACCAAGGGGTCTGTAGTGGGAGGTTGAAGGGTTGGTACTGAAAGCCAAAGAGGCCACAGTGGTTGGCAGAGGGCTGGAGATGGAAGATGAAGAAGCTGTGCCGAAATCTGATACCCAAGGCGAAGGTGAAGACCAGACCCCTCCAAAGAGAACAGCAAGCTCTTCCAAGGAAAATCAGCTGAAAGCCTGCCCTACCATTCTCCTTGTATACCATTCTCAAAGTGAGTCATGTCCAGAACCATGCTGACTCAATTCAGCTGGGAGTTCCCCCATTTGACTATCAGTTCACCACCACAGATGTATGCAAGTAAATTCAGAGAATTCAGCTAGTATGTATTGTGGCCTATGGATGCTTGGCTTAAGATGGGCAACGTAGAAATGAAAAATAAATGGGTTCAGTAGATACTGTTGCAGTGGAATTGATGTTTTTGTGATATCTTATGATGGTTAAGAGAGCATTTAAACCTCCTTAATAAATAACTCACTCATTCTGCTGTATGTTTGTGCCATTGGCTTGACAATGGAGAATAAACCTTCACTAATGTGTAAAAAATACCTGTTGAATATGAAACATCTTAGTGAAGGTTTCATCCTGAAAGTAAGTATGTGCGTCTGCTTGTTACTGGAAGACTCCTCTTCGATTTTAAAGTTGCCCATTCCTTGAGAAGGACTGGAATGGAAAACTAATGTGTCCAAGGGTCCCTGTCTTTAGTGAATGAGAATGTAATTAAGGTACGTGGCACAGTGAAGGGGATTGGAAGGGCAGCAGGTCCTTTGGTTTCTTTCTCAAAGATATGTTAATAATGTTCTGAAAGTAGTGCCAAGTAGTGTCTGTGATAAGAGCAAATAATAGTGTTTGAGAGCTTAGTCAAGTCAATCTCGGCAGGAAAGAGTCAGGTTTTGGCTACTCAAGTAGAAAGAATGCTGTAGAAAGGCAGACACTCTTCTGAAACATTTTCTCAGTCCTATTATAAACACTTTCCATATACTGTTTATTCTGAAATTATCTGTACTCTAGAACCAAGCTTTTAAATGCTTTTTAAAAAACTAGGTGAATAGATCACTAAAGCAGTATAGTTATTTGGTTTCTCATTGTCTATTTTTTTCTTTTTTCCCCTACATTTTCTGCTATTTACATATCTGCTTTTCTGTTTCAGGAGTCATATGAAAGAGCAAAACATATCTTGAAAACTCATGCAAAAGAGCATAAGAATCTAGCAGAAGCTTTATTGACCTATGAGACTTTGGATGCCAAAGAAATTCAAATTGTTCTTGAGGGGAAAAAGTTGGAAGTGAGATGATAATTCTTGATATGGATATGTTGCTGGTTTTTTTGCAAGAACATGAATATCATTGCAGTAGTCTTTTGCAGTGCTTTCTTCCTCATTCTTGATTTGGTATAAATTCAAGAGTGAATACTTTGTCAACCTTTTGTCACATTTATCTAATTTTGCTTATTCTCATGATCCATCTCTTGCAAATTAGCAACGTACTACAAATATATTTTTAAAAAATAAAGAACTATCAGGATTGGAAGCAGTTCATTTGAGAAATGTCGGGTCAGTTATTACGATGAAAGTAAATAATGACTTTGTGGTTGATTACTGTTTATGAATGAAAATTGTGCCTTTAGCTCCTGGTAAGTATTTTAAATTTGCAGTTTTAAGATTATTTGAGACCTTTCATCTTGTGATAGTAATGTTTCTTTTGATAAAGAAGTGATGCTTTTGTAAACCATCCTCCCCCACTTCCTGTTGGTGATACTGACTGAATCCAGGCCTGGTGCATGCTGAGCTAGTGCTGTATCACTTAGCTACATCTCAGCCCTTTTAAAATTTTATTCTAAGACAGAGTCTTGCTTAGCTGCACAAACTGACACTGAACCTGTGATTCTTCTCCCTTAGTGTCCTAATAGCAGGTATTACAATCATATACCACCACAATTGACTATAAATCTTGTTTCTATATCTATCATGAAAATATCAATAAGATGCAATTAATTATGCTACAGGTTGCACACATAAAAATGCTTTGTAAAGTATGCAAGAGTAAAGAATTGTAAACACAAAGATACAATCTGAATTTAAAGGGTTATAACCTTTTAAAAATACAACATACATTTTCATTAAGATTACTGTTCTTATGGGCCAGGGTACAGTGGCACACGCCTATAATCCCAGCACTTTGGACACACAAGCAAGAGGATGTTCAAGGCTAGCCTGAACTGCATAGTGAAACTCTTCTCAGAAAGCCAAAAAAAAAAAAAAACAATTATTGTCCTTACAACTAGTGAAGTTTATTTGAAAGCAATAGTATTTCATTAAATAAACAAGTTAGCATCTCTGTTTTGAATAATTTTATAATTAGGCTTAATCTCAAAAGCAAAAGTAAACCAAAACCCATGTCCCTCATAATGAGCTTTTGAGTTACCCGAGTTAAAAATGAATGTAATTATTTTTCACTCTTAATTTTGGATTATGAACATGTTATAGGATTTACATACAGTTTTTTTGAGTGCATTGTATTGGCTTTACACTCAAGTTATTTTCTGGAGGTAATTTTATTAAAATTAACTATAGTTTTCTAACAACTTATGCTGCATATGGTCTTCATTGAAGAAAATGGATAAGTTAAAGAGTTTATCATGTGATTCTTTACCTTCTTTAGGTAATCTTAAATTTTGTAATTTCAAACTACTGAGAAGTGTTGCCAGGATAATTATAGGGATATCCTCTTATATAACCTTAATTTAGATTATCAGTTATTTTGTGTTTCCCAATTTATTACACTCAGTTTTTGTGTGCTGTCTTTCCCTATCTTTGTCTGCATATACATAAATACATACATATGAAACACTGGTAATGTCTTATCTAATCAGACTTTATTGACATAGTTTACAAGCTATGAAAGTCATCAGTTGTGAGTGTAAAGATGTATTTATTATGGCATCATTACCACAAACAGGTTTTAGAACATTTCTGTTGCCTCCCATAATTCTGTCATGTTATTTTGTGGGGAATGTTTATAGAGAGTCACTGTACAATTTTATTTTCTTAGCTAGGCATGTAAGAGAGTTTCTCATATCCTTTATAGTACTTCTTGATAATTTATCAATTGTCTTAGTTCATTTTTACTTGTCACTGAGACAAAATGCCTGATGCTCGAAGTTAGAGGAGGAAAGATTTATTTCTTATAGTTCTTGAAGGTTTTAGTCCATACTCAGTTGGCTCCAAGGTAGGGTGGCATGGTGGTGCCACCATTCATGGCTGCTGCAAACAGCAAGGTGTAAACCTGCAAGAGAGGCACAGCTTCCGGCAGATACGTCATGTCCTGGTTCCACCCCTAGGCAGATGAAACACACCACCAATCCAAGCTCTAGACAATAAACCAACCACAAAACACTAGATTTGGTTGCTTTCATAATTTTATGAGGCTTGAGGGCCACTGACATAAACCACGACAGCCATGAAGTGTTATGTCACACCACTCACTTCCAAATTAGGGCCATGCAAATTCTGATGTCACCAAATTAAATCTGCAGTTTAATTTGCATCTCTAGTGACGTTGAACACCTTTTCCTGAGCTTATAACTTTGGAGATGTATCTGTTGGAATCTTTTGTCCCCTGATCATATATTCTGAATGAAAGTCCTTTATTGGATCTTTTTGTCCAGTCTGACTGCCATGTCAGTGGGATTTTCAGTTCATCTATATTTTACTGGTTATTTTGAGACGGTTGAAGCTGGCCTTGAACTCGCAGTGTAGCCCAGGATTGGCTTCAAACTGTTGGCAGTCCTATCTCTGTTGCTATAATCCTGGGGTTATAGGCACGTGCCTACCACAACTAGCTCATCTGCAGTATTGAAATACTCTACTAGTTTACTGATTTTCTCATCTCTAAAAAGGTTTCTCTCCTATTGTCTTCATCTTACTTTGTTTAAATACTTTTTTTGGTACCAGCTCAGTTCTCAATTTTTTTTTCTGTTTTGAGAGAGCATGTTTTTTGTGTGGTTGCTGTAAACATGACAGTGTACACCTTTTGTTTGGTTTTTTAGTTTGTGAGATGGGGTCTTGCTGTGTAGTTCAGACTGGCCTCAAACTCAGTATGTAGCCTAGGCTACAAACTCAGAGTGATCCTCCTGCTTCAGCCTCCCAAGGCCTAGGATTATAGGCACACTCTCCATGCCCAACTGACAGTATACATCTTATCATCATAGTCTACTTCCAACTAACAATTCTGATAAAATGTAGGAACTTCATTCCACAATATGTCCATGTACTGGTGTTAATGTATATTGTAGCTATACACATTGCAAACTCAACAATCTTAAGTCCTTATTCTTCATCTTGGAAATGTTTGATTATGCCTTTTGTCTTTTATTTTTCCTGGCATTCTACCAATGAGCTGCATCCCAGCCCTTTTTTTTACAAGGTTTCACTCTTGCCTCAATGCCCCATGTTCCTGGGATTACAAATTTGTGTCACTGCTTCCAGTTTGCCTTTTGTTTTTAAGAACAGATTTTTCAGGATATATGTTGTTGAAAATTTTTTCTTTGAATCTCTAAATGTCATCCCAGCATACCCTGACTCTCAGTGAGAAGTCAGCTCTTAAATATTATTAATCTATGTATATAGGTTTTGTTTGTTTTGTTTTTGGTTTCAGGATTTTTTTTTTTTTACATTTTAACAGTTTTTAGGTATAGCTCTTTATAAATAGCTTGGTTTTGGAGCTTGTTGGATGTGTAGATTGTCTTTCATCAGACAGGAGATTCTTGGCTATTCAAATATATTTTCTGTCCTTTTGTTACTCTGTAATCCCCCTTACACACATGTATTGGTACAATTCGTGTTGTCCCTGGACTCCAGGACTCTTGTCTCTTTTTTTCCCTTCCATTCTTTTTTCTGTATTGAGTAATTTCAGGGTTTGGTTGTTGTTGTTGTGTTTGTTTTGGTTTCACTGTCACAGATTGTTCTTGTGCTATCTCAGATGTCTTGAATATTTGTTCATATTTTTCAGCTCCTAGTTTTTCTTTTGGGTCTTTCATGGAATTTTTTTTTCCTGAGTTAACAGTTTGTTTACTTCTATGAACATGACTTCCTTTTTTAAGAGTAATGCTTCTTTCTTGATATCCCTTGTTATCTTTTGTTCAGTTTCAAATAGTAAGATATGGCAAACATGTACATTGCCCTACCATTGTTCCTTTGATTAGTAGGCCTCAACAGAATCTGTGACTTCTGTCTCTATTGCATTGTGCATAGCTGTTGGTAGCCTTGCTAAGTTTTTTTTTCAGTATTGTTATCTAAGCATTAGCTGCTGTTTGCTTAGCTTAGTAGTTACAGACTGCTTAAACCTTTCCATTTCTTGAGGCTCCTGCTTTCTGCTTTCTGCTGATAGATCTGTGTATGATCAAACAACTACATTCAGTCTGTCTTGGCCTTTGATTTTTTTTTTTTTTTTTTTTTTTTTTTGTACCAGAGATCAAATTCATGACCTCATGCTCGCTAGGCAGATGCTTCCACTGCTGAACTAAATCCCCAGCCCTGGCCTTTGATTTCTTTTGGGCAGTTTTGCTTCTGCCTTTGCATATGCTTGAGAGCTTTCTGTTCCCTGTGTCTGTGGTATGTGTGAAGTGCTAACTGAGCTCCTGTGACTTTCTTACCTCCCAGAAATTTCAGTTAAACACTTATTTCATCTCTCTTTTTTTTTTTTTTTAACCTCAACAGGACTAAAAACGTCAGGTTAATAAACTATTCATCACTTAGGGCACAAATTTAACTTCTAGTGCATCAAATTAAGTTCTTAGCAGAGAACAAACATTATTCATTAAGATCTACCTTCTCATTGGTTAAACCATTGACCTTACGGAGTTGCCATAGGGTAGAAGCAGTCCTGGTGGGCAGGGATATGACAGACATAAGTGTTTTTAACTGAGGCATTAGCAATTATTATGCATAAATGTCTTTTATTGAGTTCCAAAGTGTTAAAATCAATTTGATTTTTTTGTAAAGCTTTATATTTCGTATCTTTTGAGAGGGGAAAAGGATTCATTACCTTTCTTGCTTTATCACACTGAAAGTGAATCTCCTCTGATGAACATTGAAATTACAACTTTAAAACAGTTTAATCAGTGGTCTTTAGAAGAAACTTGCAAATTTCTTAAAAGCTGTGATTCCAAACCATCTGAATATCAGAATGGTATTACTGGAAAAGGGACAGAGCAGGATGGCAAAAACGACTTCATCATTATCCCCTGAAGAAACATCTGTTAAACAATTATTTATACAGGAAATAAGTTTCACCTGAGTCAAGGAAGCCAGCTGAATGTGCAGACCCTACTTGTGGCATAATAAAAGATGCACTGAAGAGGATAGGGTGGGTTTATAGTACTTGGAGGACACTTGCCCCAAACCAAAGCAGCATAGCATGGAGAGATGCTGTCTGCCACATGTGGGAAAGAATTTAAGTATACAGCACTCCTGGGATCCATAATCACACTTGCCAAGGTGAAACTCAGTCCCCAAAGGACTCCTAAGGCCACTCAATG